ATGACCCATAGGAGATAATATAGAGATAGGTTTTGTTTTGCGGTGGTCAGAATGTTTTTAAAACTTGACAACCAGTACAGCACACCGATTAAAAATTTCGATGAACGATAATTAATCCTATTTGGTGATAAATTCAATGTGTAGCTGTTAGGAAACCATCGAAATTTTTATGGCAAGATCTGCAATAAACGTCCAGGTGATCAATTTGAGTTGTTAAAATTTCTTTTGACGATAATTTACCTATTTCGCAATAATGCGACAATATATTCTACTTGTTGCGGTCAAAACAGGATTAAATTTAGCATTATAGTGATAGTGGAGCACAATGGTGCAGTTAAAATTTGAGCTCTTCAGCTGGTAAAAAAATTTTCCGAATTTCAATTGATGATCACTTTTATTTTAGCTATAAATTTTTTCAGTATAGACGAGGACAGCCGTGATTGCTCAGGAGATAGAGCGTTCACCTTCTAATGAGGTAAACCGGGCTCGAATCCCAGCGATGGCTGGTCGGTACGAATCCGCATCCGGCTTGCATCGACCACAGTGCTGACACTTAATATCCTTAGTGGTAGACGGATCACGGGTTAGAGTCCCTTTGCCGTTAGGCTACCCGTGGGAGGTTCTCGTGGTCTTCCTCTCCATACAACGCGAATGCGGAGTTAGTTCCGTCAAAAAGTTCTCCACGAAGACAAATTTCTCTCACTACTTGATCCGGGAGTTCCCTTGTCTTCTCGATTGGGTTCAAAATTACAAGACTATGGAGTTGAACAATAGTCGTAAACCCAAAATATTGGGTCGACGATGATTTTATTGTATATAGAGAGAGAGAGACGAGCAAACAATTAAAATATGCAGTGTCATTGGGTACAGGGCTCCGGTAGAGAGTTTGATGTTCTAAGTCAGAGATGGCTAACCTATAGCTTGCGAGAAGTACATATTAAGGTATTTTTATTTCAAAACAAAACAAGAATCTCCAATATTAGGAAAATCAATTGGCTTCAGAAACAAATACGATTTTGTGATATACGAGGTTAACTAAAATTCGTCCTTCAACTAAGGAAATTAATCTTGTTGAGAAAAAAAAAATTTCTTGGAAAATAGTGAGTGCAATTAGATAATCAAAAAATAACTTGAACTAAACTGCGAATTATGAAAAAATTTGCAATATTAAATTCACACTATGTTGTGAGCAGATGTTTTAGCAATGAGTGCTATATAAGTATAATCGACCGTAAAAAAACCACCCAGTTTCTGAGTCTAGAGTAATTTATTCTTGACAAAAAGTTTTAACACTATACACCAACACGAATATAAATTACGTAAAAAAAATATAAATAATGTATTTCGAAAATAAAATTTTCTTTTTAATTGAAACATTTCAAAGACAACGTTTTTTAAGCGAAAGAATAAATACAATAAAAACACGTTTTATACCGCATTGATACTCCTATTTTTTTCACATTATTTAATACTGAAAATATCTAACGTTAATTCCCTCAATTTTATTTTATTATTTACTACAAAAGATGCCTGTTTTAGGATATTTCATTTTAATAAGTTTAGTAGTTTAAAAATATATGAAGGGTTTTTGTAGCAATATAGTGATAAACTACACTTTTTACAAATAGTATGACATTTTTACATCTAACTCTTCCTTAATATTTTCTGATAAGTATTTCGAGAGTGCTAAAATTTCTACCAGATGGCAGCACCAAGCACGAAACATCTTACAGCCTATAAGAAAATTGTGATGTCTATTACTTAAAAATCTCTCCAGAACAATCTGAGAAATGCGACTAAAAACCCAAACCCTTCATATAAACAGGCCAGTTGACATTATTCAGAAACTTTTACGTTAGAAAAAAAAATAGTTGCTTATATGTTTTCTTGATAGAGTAACTTACGACAGTTTTACTCAATGTTTAATTTTAAACATTTAATAACTTCAACAGGAGCAGAATTTAATGATGGGTATATTCAATACCCATTCATGAAATATTTAATAATTTCGGAGGCCTCACATGTATGATGCCTTTTCTTCTAATATAAATAAAATTGTTCCCTCTTATGTATTGGCCTCATATATTTGCAAATAGTATATTTAAAATATGTGGCATGCTGTAGTAGTTTTAAAATAAAGATCATGTAAATTAACATAAAATAGCTTTAAAAATTATACCGTTTTAAGAATCTATTTTTTTCTATCAGCTGCTTCAAACAAAATATGATCAAAATGAGTTCTTCAATTTTCACGGCAAATATGATAACAACTTATAAATAATATAAAAAACTGAATAAACAGATAATGAATAAATAATTTTATTTGAAATATCGAAACATAATAATCTACAGTATGTTTTTGCCATAACATATCGCAAAAAATAATAAAAGTGTCCATCTATAGTTTACAGCTGAATAGAGATTCAGTATTTTTAATTTTATTTATTTATTTTTTTTAAAAATTTCAATAAGGTCTCATGACTATTCCTATTTGTTATCATTGAGTATTCCTGACATTAGATAAGGGTTTCTGTAAAAAAAATATATGAAATCAATTTTAAATTTCGATAACATAAAAGAAAAAGTCATCAATGCAAATAATTTTAAGAGAGGCAAGGAGTTACACAAAATTTATGCAGTGAGGATTTCAATAGTTTTTTAATAGTGCAGCGTTCCTTAAGTAATTGTGGAAAATAGTAAAGAAATTTCTAAAATCAGTCGTCTCGACACTAGAAACAGAAAGAGAACTGAAGAATTATAAATGGATATGGTCATAAAAAATAAAATTAAAAAAAACTTAATATGAACTGTGGTTTAATGCTCTTTGCGGCGTTTACATACGAGTATGAGATGGTGATGGAAAATTTTCCCATTTCCGGAGGATTTGGCAACAGAGGTTGTTGGTTTTGCAGTCTTAAGCGGCGAGTCTTGGCATTAAAATAATTGGCTTATAAGAGCTTTAAAAAGTAACTTTAGTAAGTTAATGATCAAAGTAAAATAGAATTTTCTTTAATTAATAAATCAGAGCCGGGATGACTCAGGGGATAGTGCATTCGCCTTCCAATGAAGTTACTCCGGTTAGAGTCCCCGTCATGGCTGGTCGATACGAATTCCGCACCCAGCTCGCACCGACCACAGTGTGGCGTAAAATATCCTCAGTGGTAGACGGATCAAGGATTGGAGTACCCTTGCCATGAAATTAAAAGTGGGAGATTTTCGTGGCTTTCCTCTTCGTGTAACGCAAATGAGAGTTAGTTTCATCAAAAAGTCCTGATCGAAGGCAAATTTCATTCAATACTTGATACAGGAGTTCCCTAGTCTTCTGGATTGGGTTCAAAATTACTAGGTTACAGAATTGAACATTAATAGTCTTAAACCTAAAAAATTGGGTCGGCTGTTCAACGTCGGTTATAAAATAAAAATTTATTAATCATTTTTTTGTGAAACACACTTTTGAACAGGCTTATTCATTATTATTAAAACAATACCAGACTAGTGTATATTAGGAAAAACATCAGTGTATGGAATACCGGGCAAATGTACACTGGAAGTGACGGCACTTATCTTAAAAATAAATAAATAAATAAAACAACAGTTTGGGTATACCAGACAATAGTCTTAAGAATTAAAAAAAATCAGCCTAATTAATAGTAAAAATAGAACAATATTTTAAATAAAAGAAAATTTGTTCAAACTACTCAAAAAACGAAAGGAATATTTCAAAATAAAATATTATGCTTTACTATAAACTATTACGTACAAATTATGTTTTGAAACTTACTTTGAAGGCAAACTCGTTGCAAAACCATAAAATAAAGGTCGTATACGAGAATACTAAGAGAGCCCGTTTACTTCCCCCGTCATTGAATTTAATAAAACAATAATTGTTTACGATCTCAACTGAGAACGGTTGAATCTAGGTACGGTCTTGTGCGAATAATTTTTATTTCTTATTTTCTTTCTTTCTTTCTTTTTTTTTTTTTTTTTTTTTTTTTTTTTTTTTTTTTTTTTTTTTTTGTTTAAAGTTAAGGGACACTGCAAAGTCTACAAAATAATTTTAGAAAAATAAATAAAAATAGCTTTTTCAGATGAACGACTTGTTCGCTGTTACAAACTTTTTCCGCTTCATAGCTTAAGTGTTCATTTGAACTGATATTATGGTAATATGAAAATAAAATTATTAACAAAAAAATTTAGACCAATTATACTGAATTCTTAACTTTCTTACATTGAATGAACCTTCAGAAATTCTGCAAATTTTAAGGTCATTAGCTGGAAAACTTTAAAACGATATTAGTTCATTTTAAAGTTCAAACATTTGTCTATGATAAAACATCAGAAAATAAATGGAGTTTAGTATTTCTAAAAAATTAAGAAACCTTAATTTTGAAACTTGGAGCCAATAGGCATAACTTCGGTACAGAAATAAGAAAAGTGTTACAGAGATACCTAACGCTTAAACGATTTTATATAAATTTTCTCTACTATGATGTGTTCCAAAAGTATTGTCATTTACAGACATAATTGAAGTTTTTCAGAGCGAAGCCAGTTTCAGACATTGCAAAAAAGAACAACTATATTTTTAACAAAATAACATTTAACAATATTTGTTTAACATTTAAGACTAACTTGTAATCCTGATCAATGAAATAACTGCTGAAGTTAACGCATCGAAGTAAAATATACTAGCACAAGAGTCGGTATATTCATTGTTTTGTTCAAGCGCAAATGTTATTATGTAATCAAAATCGGGGAAAAAAATTAAAGGTGTTATAAAGTAAGTCTACACTATTGAACACCTTTCATAATAAGAATAAGAAGCAATTCTTAAAAATGTCAGAAATATAGAGTACATTACAGTCGCGCGCATGTAGGTTATATTAATGTTAAGAAAAAAAGCCTTTTATATTGCGGACATGCAATTTTTATAAATGTAGATGCAACTGAAAGATTTGTTTCTAGAATATGTTTTTAATATCAAAAATTAAAAAATTACTTACTTGTATCATTAGACATGCTATTAACTTGTTCTTCCAGCTTTTCAATTTCCCACAGCTTTCTCCGAATGTTTTTCACTATGGCAATAGCAGCATTCACATCTATCAATAGAACAAAATTATTAATAAGTTAACTAAATCTATTAAACTAACTACTCAGTGGCGCGACAGCCCATTAAGAGGGCCAAGGCCGACTGTGCCCATCTCAGTTTTCTTGACCTAGGGCTCTGGGGTGCAGAAGCATATGTTCCGGGGTCAGGTGGTCAGCCGAACGCGGAACCCCCAGTGTTAGTTCCCAAGCATGCTTGGTACTCATTTTATCGACCCACTGAAGGGATGAAAGGCTGAGTCGGCCTTGCCCGGCCCAAGGATCGAACCAAGGAACTGTGGCACGACAGCGCGAAGCGCTACCGCTCAGCCACCGGGCGTCAACTAAATCTATTAAAAATTAAATTTATCCAATTTATAAAAATGAAAATCGTATGATTAAACCAAACCTACGTTAACGTCTTCTTCGGAAAGCTATTTGTAATCGATGCAAAAAAAAAAGTTGAACACTATGATAAAGTATGCAAGACTAAATTACGTGTAAATGAAATTGGAAACACTAGAAAAATTCAAATTTCATAGGTCGGATAATCAGCACTTTGAGAAAACATAATATAATCCAGATAACCGTTGGAATGCTAAAATATTTCCTGAAAATTTCAGAATTGATACTGGAGCAGATGTTTGACGGTTGTTCCCATAAGTACAACATATAAGATTAGATTAGGAGAATCTGGACAAGATATAAATAAGATTAGGAGAATCTGGTGCTGACTGGGATAAAACTAAAAAAAAAAAAGAAATAATTTTAGCTACCGAGATAGTGTATATATAATACATAACGAACAAAATCATTTGTTAAGTTTCAGAACAAGTAAAAAATTGAATCTCATTCAGCGATTTTTTAAATCAGAATTCAAATTAGATTCCGTAGAAGAATTTCCGAAATTTTTAAAAGGATTATGAAAGTTGGAAGGCAATACAATATAAAGTTAAAAAATGATGTTAAGCCATGTGATATTTTGGTACCACGGGCGAGTTTCAGTATCTCAAAAGGGATAAATTAAAACAAAAAATTATTTGACGAGATGACAAAAAATGAAATTATAGAAATAGTTGATAAATCCTCACAGCGGTGTGCATCAATTATTATTGTTCCTAAAAAAATCAGGTGATATTAGAATTTGTGTTGATTTATCAGTTCTGAATGAGAATATTGAAGGAGAATTATTTTTCTCATGATCTCAGATGCTTAAGTATTTAGTATTATGGATGCAAATGTAAGTTTTCGTAAAGTTAGAATTGTTAGCTACTTTTATTACACCATTTGAAAGATTTAAACTTTAGAGTTTTCCATTCAAAATGAAATCAGCTCCTGATGTGTTTCCAAAAAGAATTCTACAAACTATTCAAGAAGGTCCTGACACATGAATTTGTAATATTTGGTGCAACCGAAGAAGAGCATAATCAACGATTACGTGAAGTTCTTTCAAAAGTTCAAGCTACTGGAAGCTAGAGGAATACTGAAAAATGCCATTTCGTCAAAAAAATCCTACCCTTCTTTTGCCATGTGATTTCTGAAAAAAGTATGAAACCAAAACCTGATTTCGAAAAAACAGAAGCTATATATAGAATTCCAACACTCAGGTATGTAACTAAATTAATAAGATTTTTAAGAATGGCTGGATTACTAAATAAATTTGAATCAAAGTTTGCGAATGCAGCAAAACCCCTTGATGGGTTATCAAAAAACAAAGTAGAATCGATTTAAGAAAAATCTCGAATAATGGCATTGGAAGAAATTAAGCATAAACTTTAGCAAAAACCTGAATTAATCTTGTATAATGAAAAGAAAGTGATTTTTATTTCAACAGATGCATCGTCCTACTGCATTGGTTTAGTTCTTTGTTAAAAGGACAATAGTCACTTACTTCCAGTTTTTTATGCACCTAGGACATTGTTCAATACAGAACTGTGATACGCACTTATTGAAATGGCAGCATTGGCTATAATATAGGCTTGTAAAAAATTTCATGACTTTATTGTCGAACTAAAAATTCACATTGAAACTGATCATAAGCCTCGTGTGCAAATTGTGAAATCTAAATCATTAGATAACTTAACTCCTAGACTCCAACCCATAAATTACGAATGATGCGACATTACGTACCAGGAGAATGTCTAAAATATTAAGCTCATCGTCATTCATCTGAGTTCAAAATGATTTGCTAATAAAAGATTAAGATTCTAGAATTATTATACCTCCTGGTCTTACTTGATTGATACCGCCTCGAGATATCAGGAACCGCATATACTAACCTCCTTCGTTTGTCTTGTTACGCAATCTTTCTGGAGGGAGAACAAAGATATCTCAGTAAACAAGGACCGTGCCTCTAATGCCCCAGTAGTGAAAGACAGTTCCCCGGATAAAATCCCATCAGTAATCCTGTTATAGTTTGTCTAAGCTAAGAACTCCTCCCGCCACAAAGTCTGGTGCTATGGAAACAAGAATGGCGCATTTCAGGGAGGCTGGCTTCACTCTAGGACTAACACAATAGACCAAAGAAAGATTTCCTTTCTCTCGCCGTACCCGAGCCGAAACCTCTTCAAAACAGTGACCCCGCACCCCTACTTGAAATAGTCATACCTCGTTACCATAGTCACCGACATAGGTCCAGATGAATGTCTGGGGGAGTTCTAATTTTGGGCAAACTATACCATCATCCAATCTCCTAATGTTGCTCTTCCTAGTACTAAACAAACCAGTCCATATAAAACTCGTAGAGACAGAACAGTTCGTGCTCCATGCAGACTTGTTGAACAGTACTTTTAATGGAAAGCTGTGATATAAGTATGTATCTGGCAACTAATAGACGAAAAAACTTACAGGGGACTCTAGGATTGAGATGGCTGTGATATTTCTGTAAAGTTCTGAGTAAGTTGTATAAATCGTGCGCTTGCGTTCATCTTATATGATAAACAAGTTTAAATATCTTTCAAGCATCTTTACACGGGCCCAAATTTCTCCAAAAATAACCCCCTGCTTGAAAAAAAAAATTTTTTTTTCAATTCTGAAACCAATTTAGCATATATAATTGCATATACATAATTACATATATAATTGCATATACATAATTGCATATAGTGAAGCATATATAATTGTTTTATATTTCTCATATCGCCAAGGTAAATAAGGTAACGTAATTGATATTTAAATTCAACTCATATTACTGAAAATTCGTAAAAGAAGGTTCCAAACAAAATAATTAAAATATAAAATAAGATTGGGTTTAAAAGCATGCTGCCGTTATCTGTAAGCATATGAAACATTAACTACTTCTGAGGTACTTATATAAAAAAGTTTTTAAGAGGAAAAATGCACAGTAAACATTTAAAATCAATGTTGAATATTTTAAGAAAAATCTTCTTTTACTAGGATTTTCAGTTTTATCCTGGCTTATGCATACGATAATAAACCAAATTTAGCTTTTTAAAGAAGAAAGTATGCTTTGTTTATTTAATATAGAATATTTTAGAAAATCGCCATTTCATAGAATCACCAAAACTGGCACCCTGTATAATTAATTGTACGCTAGCCAAATAAAACTAAGATAAATTATTTTAATGCATGATCTGAAATAAAGAGCAAGTTCTGAGGGTTGGTGAGTTAGAGTAATAAAGGGTTGTAGCCTCTATTTTATATAAAGTGAAAAGAAATCTTGAAGTAAAACAGCTGGGATATTAAATGAATTTAAGGCGAAAGGAGAGCGAAGTAGTGTGTGATGTTGTTCATCATACCTCTTTCATTCCTTATTACTCACCTTAGCACTTTAACTTTCGATTTTATTTTATTTCGATTTGAACCTTTAAAATAATTTCTTAGATGTGAAAGCTATAAGCTAATTTACTGATTTTGATACCTTCTTGTAATAAGCTTCAATTCATTTCAGAGCTTTCCGGTTCCAAAAAAAATGCTATAAATTGTTCTAGTTTTTACTTTTCGAGAAGTTTCTAAAGTTTATCTTTAAGTAAGAGTGAGCATTACTAAATTTAGAGAGAGAAATGAGATTACATTTTTGTCGAATAACAGTTTATATAAAGATTAAATTATGCAGCCTATAATGTGATACTGATTATATCGATTCCATTTTATATGAAAATTTTATGTGAAATTAGAATCTTCTGATCAACACATTATAATCATTTATTTTTACCGTCTGTTCCTTACTTTGAGAAAAATAAACTATGAAATTCTATTTGAAGTAAAGCTCACACATTATCATCACGTCTTGTTTCATTGGATTTGCCATATCAAGCAATACAACAAGGAGCTCTACAAGCGATAGCAAGCAGAAGACGTTTTGTTCTCGTATCATAAATAAACTCAAAGCAACAAAATTAGGCCTCCATATTTCTTTTAAAATCACAAGTCAATTTTATAAGAGATAAGTACTTACGTGATTCTAGCCTTTGCTTCGATTTTTGAACATTAAGCTGGAAATATGTACGAGCCACGGTACTTTTCATGCCTCCAATCCACTTTGACAGTTTAGCCATCTCTTCATCAATTAACAGCTTGTTTTCATCTGCCACAAACAAAGAAATAATTCTATATTTTATTTTATAACCGTCGTTGAACAGCCGACCCAATTTTATGGTTTACGACAGCTAATGTTCAACTCCGTAGCCTTGTAATTTTAAACCCAATTCAGAAGACAAGGAAAACTCCTGGATCGAGTATTGGGAGAAATTTTGCCTTCGTGGATGACTTTTTGATGGAGCTAACCCGCGTTTGCGTCACATGGAGAGGAAGACCACGAGAACCTTCCACGATTAGCCTGACGGCAAAGGGACTCTAACCCATGATCCGTCTACCAATGAGGATATTTCAGCTCAGCACTGTGGTCGATGCAAGCCGGATGCGGAATTCATATCGACTGGGATTCGAACCCGGTTCGCCTCATTGGAAAGCGAAAGCTCTATCCCCAGAGTCATCGCGGCTCAAACAAGGAAAATTAAACCAGATAATTCCCAAAAATGTTGTCATTTGGCATTCGTAAAAATTTGTCGTTTGAAAACCATTATGCACAGCGGTATCAAACGCTGCGGTACACCTACTGGGTCGTGGATGCTTGAAGCTACCGGTATCCACTTTAAATCTAGATATTGATTTTTTTTNTTTTTTTTTTTTTTTTTTTAAGAGAACAGTGTCAAAATTCTCATTAATGTTTTTTTTAAACTTAGATATCTAGTTTAGAGCTTTCTTATGATTGTAACAGCTAAGTGCGTACAATAATTATTCGCTTAGTACACACAATAATTATTACAAAAGTAATTATTATAATCATTAAGTACATACAATAATTATTACAAAAGTAATTATTATAATCACTAAGTACATACAATAATTATTACAAAAATATTTGTTTTAAACATTTTTGCACAATATATATCGTCCGTAATAGGTGTCTACTTTTTACTTCATTTTATAACCGTATTTAAAGAGCCGACCCAGATTTTGAGTTTACGGCTACTAATGCTAACTCCGCAGCCCTGTAATTTTTAACCCAATCTTGAAGACAAGGGAATTCCTGGATCAAGTATTGAATGAATTTTGGCTTCTAGGACGACTTATTGATGGAACTAACCCGCATTTGCGTTACATGGGGAAAAACCAGGAAAATCTCCCATGGTTGGCCTGAGGCAAGGGGACTCTCTAACTCGTGATCCGTCTACCACTGAGTATGTTTTTATTTCATATTGTGGTCGGTGCGAGGCGGGTGCAAAATTCGCGCCACCAGCCATCGCTGGGATTGATTCGAACCCGGTTCACCTCACTGGAAGACGTGCGCTCTATCCCCTGAGAAATCAAGGCTCTAAGTGTCAATTCGTGATTTTCCTATTTAGTAGTTAATGGTCTTCAAGGATTTATTTTTTATTTCCTTATATTCATTTCATTATTATTATTTTTAATTACAAAACTGGTGGTTTGCACAGCTTTAAAAAGGCTGGAGGCTGTTGTTATAATATACAGAAAAACTCTTCAATGTTTAAGAAAAAAATAGAAATTAATTTCTGAAATTAGCACTGTGATACCTACAATTTTCGAGCAACTGTGGTTTCTCTAGACCAGCGGTTTCCAAATCATGTTTCGCGGAACCCTAGAATTTACGGGGTTTCGGGAGTTAGGACCATATTTTTTATCCAGTAATGATTTTTTTTTCTTTTTTTACGCTTGAAGTTAAATTTATACTCAATTAATAATCCATTATTTATTTAATATTTCCGTTGCTTTTATAAAATTATTTAATTAAATGTTTGTAAATAAACGAAATTGAAAACAATGATTTTTTTCAAGCAATATTATAATGAAATGATGGAAAGGATGTGCATTTTTGAAAAATTGCAATAGTATTTCGCATCGAATAAAAAAATTAAAAAAAACTAATTCAACAATGAGGAAAGTATGTTTCCCTGATAACCATTGCCCTCGTCTATTTTCGTCCATTTTTGTTTTATTTTAATGGAAACTTTATTTCAGCTCATTAATTTTTAGTCTATGCGTGCACGAAAATCAAATTAAAAACTAGACTAGATGCCGTTCCAGACCTGTGAATTCAACTGTCTACATAAAATGAATTTTAAGACTAATATTGATAAAACGATAAGATGAAAGAATTTTATTCACTTAATACTTTCAAAATACTTAATAAAATTTAAATAATTTCATATTTTAGAAATAATTAATACTCTTTCGTTAATCTATATGTTCACAGTTTTATTCATTTAAGCTCGGAGTTCCGTCAAAAGACGGTCAATCACTTAGGGTTTCACAGCCGGAATTGGGAGTACTCTGGAGTCTAGACGTTTTCGGAGTTGAAAGGTTCATTTTTGAGAAAAATCTACTTATAGTTTTGTGAAAATGAGGCTCTTATTTAGCGAATCAAAATTTAAAAATTTAAAGAAAGAATGGAAAAATAAAGTGGCTTTTTCAATCTTTTTATAAAAGATGCGCGTAAAAAATTTACATTTAATTTTGTGAGTTTTGAGAATAAATTTTCTGTTTTTGTGGTTCTGTTAAACATGAGTCTTTCAAAGAGTTTTAGTTTTAAAATTATAAATTAAAGACGTCCTAGATTCCCTTTATCCTAAAATTAATAACCTTTATTACGAGCTTAGAAAAATTGTTTCTTTTCAACATATGCAATTAAAATAATGAATATAATACTACGAAATAATCTGTTTGGCGCAAAACATATACCAAGTATTTATAAACCAAAAATTAAAGAAAACAAAATTGCAGTTTTAGTATAACAATCGATCGTAAAAAAGACATAAAAATGATTGAGTAGCAATCTCAAACCTACAACTAATCTAAAAAACCCTGAAATCTAAAGTAGGAACCAAATTTGTCCTCAGAGGAGCAATCTAAATATCCTCCCCCCCCAAAAAAAATAGTTGCATTGCAACAAAACAAATGATAAATAGTTAACGAATAATTGAGTTTTATAGACTTAAATAAACTTAAATTTATATCTTAATGAGGTGTAAGCTTTTCCTACAATCTCATTAAAAATAATCAATTTAGCTTTAACATGGACTTATGAATAAAAATGAAAAATATTTCTGATATTCGAAAAAAACTAGGGTAATTGATAAAAAAAAAATTTAAAAATGGGTCAGATTTTTTTGAAAAAAAAAACCTGCTTTAAGCATACTGATTGAACTTAAATTCAAAATTACACCTACCTAAAACTTTCAGGCGGTTCAACTCCAAAACTCTGTCAGGCACAGGCAAAATGGCTCTGTATTTTGTCTTAGTCGGAATATCCACGCACCTTCCAGAATTTATAACCGATATCGGACTAGCTTCTTTGACGTACTGTAAACTTTCATTATTAGTTGTAACAACTCTGTTGCAAGGAACCATTTTAATCACACCACTCGGTTGTTTTTTCACCAAATAAACATTAATGTCACGAGGAATCTTGTTGGCAATTCCTGAAGTCAATAATCTTTGCATGTTAGAACTTTTACGCCCCATCACACTCGAAATAGGCTGCAAAATAGATTTTTTGCCTTGCATAAAGGCTTTCGATAATTTTACTGGATTGGAACTCTGAGCGTTGAGAGAACCAGCTATTTTGTTTTGGATTGATAATGGAGGACGGCATTGTAGGGACGGTAAAATTGCAACTTCTCCTTTAGATTTTGGTGGAAGAAGGTATGGTTGTTTGAAAATCGAACAGAATCTGTTTTGAGTTTCTGATTTAAGGGTGCTACTAGTTGATCCGGGACTATCCTTGCTTTGCTGGTTGGGTTTCAAACCATCATCTTTACATTTCTTCAGAGAACTCATAGTTTCATTTCTTTTCAAATTACTTTCTACATTCATTGTCTTATTACCATTCGTCAATATCGTTACATCCCTACTCGAATCTTTGGGTTTGAAAGAACAATTCTCAAAGTTATTTTCGTCATCAGATGATACGATATCTATAACTTCCGGTCCATCTATTTTCGGAACAATTTCAACAATCTCAATTTCACTATCATCAGCACTGCTAATGACATCATTAGATTCAGTGCTATTGCTAATAGCACTGTTTGAATAGTTCGACATAGTCCCAGAAGAACTCTTAGAAACCATCTTACATAATCTATCCACAGAATTTCTTTTGAAATTTTCCAAGTAGGCTCGCCTCTCCATTTCTTTCAGCTTTATTTTGTTAAGCTTGTTCCGATCTCGAAGATTTTTTCTGTTTTGATGATATATCATATTCTGCCGGTCTTGTATCTTTTTCCTTTTCTTTTCTTTCTCGACTTTCGTAAGAGTCTTTTTGCTACATATTCGCTTGGGAACCAAACCAAAGTTACCCAAAAACTTAGTTTTCGGGTTATATAAAACTGCCGGGTAATTGGAAAACTGCTCTGCAGCTCTCAAAAGAGCATTAAAATCATTGATATTCTTTGGTTTTCGAAATGATCGCGGTATTACTCTCAAAGATTTCTGCGTTTTCAGCTTATTATCATCGGATTTCGTATATGACATTTCCCTGATGCTAGTTGTAGTTTTCTGCAGACCAATTTCAAAGTTTTTTGGAATTCCCTTCGAAAGAGTTCCTTTCGCTAAATTATCAGGAACGGGTTTAATGCTTCTCACATTAGTGATTTTTAAATCACTCGAAAAACTATTTTCAATGTCACTCGAACTTGAAGACAAAGGGTGACCTTTTGTCAAACCATAAAATGTAGAAGGATTTGCCATCGAAACGGAGCCTTGCTGCATTTGATTATATATGTTGCAAATACCAGGGTCCGAAGAAAGCATCATATCTAAAATAAATTAAGATGATACAGCATCATAAAATAACAGTATCGCATTATTCTTTATTCGAAAGTGATACATAATCAAAAATATATTCAAAACACTAGCAAAAGAATAGTAGATCTTATATTAAATACGTTTAAGACAATTACATATTAATCATAAAGTGATCGTAATGTGGGCTATTTACAAAAAATACATACATATATTACTAATAAAATAAGACGTACGTACCGGCTATCACGAGATGTCCTTCAGATACAGACTAGCGGTCACTATGGTTACGGAGAAAAAGGTTGGTTTAGGTTAGGAAAGTTATGTAATTTTTTTCGATTCCCCCCACACACGAGAAATGATTTAATTCTATTTTTCATAACAGAGTATACACTCAAACTTTCAATCATAAGTTCTCATAATAGCTGCACAATAACACAATTGGTCTAAAGTATAGTACTAATTTATTCAGAAATGACCCAATTCCTCAGAGTTGTATCATAATATATATCATAATATCATATTTTACATATTACACAATGCCTATATAAAAATGCTATTTTGAGATCAAATGTAGTCATTTCATTCCTTTTGAGAATTTTTTTTTTAAATCTTAATTACTCGAAAAATAATTCGTTGTTGAAATAATTACAAGTCGTGTTTCTAATTCGGGGATTTTAGAGGGCTAGAGAGATATAATAAATACATATGATAGTAAATAAGTGCTTAGTTCTGAACAAATTAAACATAAATGTATGCATCAAATTACTCTAAAAATAATTAGTCGTTGAAATAATTACAAGTCATGCTTCTAATTCGGAGATTTTAGAGGGCTAGACGGATATAATAAATACATATAATAGTAAATAAGTGCTAAGTTCTGAACAAATTAAACGTAAATGTATGAATCAATCTAAGACAATTAAAAATGTATACATCAATTTCTATATAAAGTTTTATTATTACATATTGGTAATTGAGTTTTATTGGAACGAGCTTTAAAGAAAATACGAATTAGCAAAAAATCATTGTTCTTAATAAGTAATTTTAAAGCAATAATTTGATTTATAGTAATAAAACATTTATTTTTACAATACTGAAAAGGTTATCCATATAAATCAAATACATTGTACACATGAGAAAATTAGAAATAATGAAACAATTTTATTAGCGAAAAAGTGAAATTTGTTGCAATATGCAGTTACAAATAGAAAAAAAAAATATTAGATTTTTCAGCTTACACTTTCGAATACAAATATTTGTACGATTTCTTATTTAAGCGCATACAATTAATATTCTACAATTTTTACTTAAAAACAAAACTTACCATGAAAAATCGTTGGCTGATTTGATTTGCAGACGATAATACTTTCGTTAGAGTTATATCTCAAATCGGAACTATTCAACTTAGAATAAAAATTGCGCAATGCGAATACGAATACAGTTAATGCGTTAAAATATTCTTCTAGATTCCTATACTCTAAAAGGACTACTTGCAAATAAAAGCTAATTTTCTACTTGCGTATATCAAACAAATAAAAATTAATCGGCTCATATTTATTCAGTTTAAATCTTTTAAAGAGGCTTTGTAAAAAATATCTATACAGACTCCAAACGGTAACTGAATGAAATTAGCTAGAATTATCGAATTCTTGAATTCTGAAAAAACTGCGCATACTGGTATCATTTTCTAACTTAAAGTATATCTTTTAAATTATGATACAATAAGACCTTTCAGACTATATATAGTTAACAGTAATGTCTTTTTAACTATTAATAATTCATTACAATAAGTAGCAAAAGCCTTCAACTTTGCAAATTGACTAAAAGTTTCAAATTACTTTGAGTTTAATTAAAATAACTGCACTTCAATACAGTTAATTATAAATTTGAGACATAGAAGTATAATAGCTAGCTCAATAAACTTAATATTTCATTCATGCAAACTTTAATACTTTCAAAATATATTTTAATTTGAAAAAATAAGGGCATCTCAAATATTACTTATGCATTGAAAGATGGCAAAGTATTTATTACATAGACATTTTTGCTGATATTGTGCTTAAGAAATAATTGAGTAATAAAGTTTGAAATCCATCGCAACACTTAATATTGCGTTAAGTTGAACAATACTTTTATACTTCTTATAAGACACAAAATTCGATTAATTGTTAAAAATCGTTTGTAAGTTTTTTCAAAAAAAAGCTAACAAAATAGATAACGACTTAGATCATATAGTGTACCTGTACCACCATTTCGCCAATTACAGCTTTCTCAATCTAGAAATTACATAAAATATCTCATCTTTACTATTGTCAAAAGACTTAAGTTTATTTTAAATATAAAGGATTTTATATTTTTAAAACATACTTCTTTGAATATATTAACACACTGAGTAAATTTTAAATGCAACAATCTTAATAAATCTTAGTGTTTATACGGTATTTTTCAAAACTAAAGGAAAGCGTTCAGAAGAAAAAATCTTAACCCAGTCAAATAAAGGTAGTATAAATTATAATAACTATAAGGATAGTTTAATTTTTTAAAAAAATGAAATAAAATGTTGAAAGCAGAAAATTTAAAGTTGTACTCAATTGAGAAATGTCGGAATTACCGATTTAATTTTTAAAGTTTCAGCCGTGAAAATAGAAAACTTATTTTACTTTTTAATTTTTTCAAAAAAAATATATAAATCTAATTAAACATATCTATTGCTTTTGTTTTTCAAGCATACAGTTAATTGCTTTAAATTATTATTTAAAATAGTTTTAAGCTCTATCATAAACTTAGAATAAAAATAACTAGAAAACATTAAAAGACTTCATTCTGTCGATGAGTCATTGTAAAAAAAGAAAAACTCTAAAAAAAATGATAATAATACCTAACATTTTAACATGTTTATGATAATGGTTGAGTAGCCTCTTATGTTTCTTGTAAGGAAAAAAATATTTTTAAATCAGAAATTTTTTTTTTACATTTTTCAATAAAGCCATACGCGAGAAATGTGCGGGAAAAAGTATGATCTTAACAGTTTATACTCGCATAATAATTTACTCGTCCAGCAGACATTAAGCCCAGAATCCAGATGAAATTTGTAATAGTAAATCCAAATATATAACATTTAAATTAATGTTCATTCATTTTATTATGAATTAACTAAATTACACTGGGGATAATTTTTTTTTCTATAACATGAGTTTTTGTTTAACCGACTTTAAATACTTTCGTATCACTGATTTCCAATTTACAATCTGTTTCGCGCTCCAAGCTACAGTGTTTTTAATGACATGTTTAGTCTAGTCTTCGTCAAAACGTAAAAATGTCACATATAAGAACAAGTTGCGTAAATGTTGTAACATGCTTTTAGGAGAGTTAGGTCGCATCACCGAGATAAAAAAATCCATGGAAATCCATACCAGGAAATGGCACTATATGCCGCTAGTGGCTCTTTCCTATCATGAACTGTTTCTTCATGTACTTCCGAACATGTCATAATAGTAAAGCGCCTCTAGCCGTGTACGACGACATTTTCAAGCATAGATTCCAATGCAATTTTTATCACAGTGATGTGTCCTAACCTAAACTTGTACATTTCGAAGAAAAAAAAATAGACGACAAAATATTTTAATTGCAACCAACAGAAACAATTTAGTTTTGCAAATATATGGGAAGATTTTTGTACAAATATAGGAACAGGAAAGAATTGTAAAATATAGGAACAGGAAAGAAAGTAAATAAGCTAACCTAAAATAAAGTTTTTATTAACATACTTGAAAACTGATAATTCCAAAATAAAGGAATAGTTCTGGTTCTGGAAAATGAAGGAAGGAGTTCTGGTTTTATCATCGTTTAAACTAAATCTAGAAAATGAGCGTGCTTGGTAAAGACGATTACAATTCGCTATCGATGAAAACTTGGTAATTTCTTAAAGAGAAGTGTAAATCGCCCCGGATATTGGCGGATTAATTCAAAATTATGGTGAGCTCAAATTCTAAAGGCGAGGAACAAAAACGAATAAAAAATAAACAGATAATTGTCAAAAGGCTTTTTATAACCATTCTTTCGTCCAGTTTTTTTTATAAAACATAATTTATACGGAAACCTTCCGAGGGGAAAAAAAATCATTGCATAACAGCTCTAAACATTAGTATTAAATAATTATGTAATAGAAACACCTTAAAACGGATTTAGAGAAATTAATCAAATAATTGCTTGTTGTTCTTTTTTATGGTAGGAACAATTTATATTTTTTTGATAATTTAATCTATTAGAAACTTAAAAAAAATATTCAACCTTTTTTTTTCTTTTTTTTTTAAATTGACGCGTGCACTAGTTAAATCATCTATAAAACGATATTTTTTTTACACACAGACACGATACTTTCTTTCTTTTCCGCAAATTTCTTACATAAATAAAAGTCAAATATTTCTAAATCAATCATATTAATATGAGAAAACATCAAAAAATAATTTAGATTCTTATCGATGCATGTATTTGTGAAAAAAGAAAAAAACTTATTTTATGAGTTCGATATACTTGCAGCTTATGCGCAATAAATAAAACTTAAGGTTCTTAATTCTCTTCGTATTTCTTTTTGTCTTTATTGTGAGATATATATATATATAAAAANTGATATTCCAAAAGCTTATTTAAAGTAGAACAAACTTGTATCATTAGTTTAACTTGTAACTCTCAGAATTGGATTGTATACCTTTTTTTTCAATTTCCGATGGTTACGGTTTGACGTGCCAAAATTTGGCGACAAACTTTAAGTGTTCGCAAACGTCAATATTCACGAAAAATATTCAAGAAAATATGATAGTACAGCTGAGCTACTAAATTATGTTTTCAGTGATTTTCAGTTTTTTTTTAAACAGAATAAATATTGAAAAAAAAGTATGTTAAACACTCTAAGCGACACTCATAAAAAGTTGTCAAATGTAGGATTGAAGTAAGAAATGAAAACCAAAAGCAAGTTACTCGCAATCAAAACTGTACGTATCTTAAAGTTAGTAATGCATAGTTATTCCTGTAATTTTATTAGAATTAATTTTCGCTTATTATGTTATATATTTATAAGAAAAGTTTGAAGAGATATAGGTTAATGATTCCTGAGATTCGCCCATATATATGAGGAAATTCGGTTGCTCGTAGTTTATTTTTTAAATGGTTCGTATTTTAAAGTAACCTATGTGGGATAAAAATAAAATGAAAATTCGAGTTAATATTTGATTAGAAAATTATGAAAGCAAACAGATCAGAATATTTAAAAATAATCAGCTTTTTTATTGGTAAAAGAAGAGACAAACTGATGCTCAAAGCGAAAACTGATAACAGAAAAAAAACGAGGAAAAAGAAAAGAAAAAAAAAACGAATACATTTTACTTGATATTCTAGTAGTATTTGACTTCGGCTTAACTAGAATTTACTGAATTCGCTTGATTGCTTTGAATACTTCGTTCTCCCGCGAAAAATCACCGTTTAACATCTCTTAATCGATTAGTTTGATATAGATATACATTTTGTAAGGTAAAAATAAATAAACCACAATTCGAAAGCGATTCAATTTGATCAGACCCAGAATCTTACAAGACCTGCAAATTTAAAAATAGAGAGAGAAAAAAAAACTAGAACGAAACAAATGTTGAGAACTTGTAACATTTAAAACGTTACCATAAGAAATAGCAAACGACGTAAATAAATGATAATTTTTGTTACCTTTAAAGTAATCTTCTCGCTGGTAATTTCTCATAAATTCGTTACTTTCGATTGCTCGAATACAATCCAGATTGTTACAGTTCTTTAGTATAAAATCAACAATCATCACCCGGTCCATTCCAAAATTTTTCTTTGTCCAAGTGTATTTCTCTTGAATCTAAAAGATGGAAAACTTTCAATAAGCAATTTAATTATGTTAATTAATATTTAATTTTGCCCTAAAGAAATAATTCTTTTGAACAAATTTATTTTCGTGATAAGTTAACGATTGACAATTTAAAAATTTTTAGTGCTCAATTGTAATTTTTAGTTATTTTAATTATAATTTATAATTTTACAATTATAATTTTTATTGGAAAAGCAATGCTTCTCTTTATAACATAAAAAATAATGGTCTAAGATCTGAAACCTGAACCTATAATAGTCTAATAATAGTTTATTGTTGATTAATTCTTTTTCACCACAAAAATCATATAATATAGAATCTTAAGTCAAAAAAGAACTTACCATATTTCTTTGGTTAACATAAAATTAATAAAACTAATAAAGGTATTTTTTATCTCTAAAATATTTCGTTATCATTTATTTATTAATAATAGTTATTTATCATCATTTCTTAGTATTATTCCCTGCTATTATTTCATTTTTAATAGTAATTATTATTTCAAATTAATGGCTTAAATCTAAGAGCGATTTAATTTATTAAAAAGTAATATATTACGTAAAATTTTATGAGAAACCTATTAAATAGGGTACATAATTTTAAACAGTCTTATAATTATTATATAGAGTAAATTATATCTACAATTTAACTCTTTGCATTATTACTAAACCTCATAGGCGAAAAATCTTTTAATGAGTTTCTGTTGTTACTAAAAATTCAAAAATAAAACTGAAAATAAAAAATTGCAATGATAACCGAGTAATACCTGCTTTAAATTTTATCCCATAAAATGGGGAACTAAATCTATGTTAACATCACGAAAAATTTAAGATTCTTTTAATTGAATAATTTTCAATTTTGATCTACAAGTGGTAGATAAAATGTTTGAGTTGTATGACAATAAAATTCCCTTATTTTAATTTTTTTTAAATGCAGATATGTAACAAACAATTTGGAAAAATATTAAGCTTCGAAAGTTTCATATTTGTAATTAAAGATAAATATGAGGTACGAAAAAATTAGAAAAAATTTATTTAATAAGTTTTAGAGGTTTAGATTTTTTTTCTATCAAAAGGAGGAAAACACAAAAAAATTTCCTAAAGAATATTCTACTCAAAATTGTATAAAATAAATTTAAACATAAATTACGTTTTATGCAAAGTTGCATTATTTATTTAAATTTATTTCGAAAATTAGATTATTACAGTAAAAGTGAAAACAAAGAGAGAGAATTTTTGGAATTTCTTACGTATTTTTATATTATATTTAGGGGTTTTTGTTTTGTATTTTATTACCGGCGTTGAACTACCGACCCAATTCAGAGTTTACGACTTTCAATGTTCAACTCCATGGCCTCGTAATTTTTAATCAAACTCAAAAAGACAAGGGAACTCCTCTATCAAGCATTAGGACAAACTATCATTCATTGAAGATTTTTTGATGGAACTAACCCGCATTTGCGCTACATGGCGAGAAAAAGAGCCACGAAAACTTCTCACGGTTAGCCCGACGGCGAAGGGATTCTAACCCATGGTCTGTCTGCCACTGAGGATATTTTAAGTCAGCATTGTGGTCGGTACGAATCGGGAACAAAATTCGTATCAACCAGACACAGCTGGGATTCGAACCAGTGTTTCATAATTTTTAGGCGAGCGATTTATCCTCTGAGCCACTGAGGCTCATGGGGAGGGATTTGTAATTTTCTTATTTTGCAGAGAAGGGGTTATAAATTAAAGTTCATATATAGCTACATAATATTTTCGCTTGGATTTCACTTTCATGCCTTTTTTTAGATTTCTCTTTGGTCTAATAATTAAATCGTTTTCAGTTTTAAAATTAGATATTTTTACCTAAATTGTTAATATACCGCAGTAGTTAAAATCTCGTATTTCATGAAAATTCAGTAAAAAATTATCATAATTCGTCCTCAACTATTTTTGTACGATGCTGCTATGGGTTTAGGTGATTTAGTGAATACTACGAAATTGTTTATAAATGATAGTAAAACGTTCTGTGAAGTCTTGAAAATAAAAACCAAAAAGTGTTGAAATCTTGGCAAGCTATTATTGTTTAGGAAAGCAGTTTCAATATCAATAACAGTTTCATTGTAATAACATTTTCCCTTCAAATTAGGAAAAAGTTGAATTTGAATGTGGTAAAAATTTTAAACATTATTGGGAATTTGTAAAAAAAAAAAATTTGGAATTTTTGAAAAAAGGGTTTGAATAAGGAAGAAATTATCTTACAATATGAAACATCAGTAAAGATTGTGATGTGAAGGTTTGTTTTTCTTTCAAGTCAAAAATATTTCAATTATTATCTAACTAAATAATTATTAAAGTTACTTTTAAACAAAATGTCATTTTTTAGTTCGGTACTGATATTTCCTGATCAGCTAAAATAGTCATATAAATATAGCAATATATGCAAAAATTGAGAATAACAGGTTCGGGTACGTTCTTAGTTAAACTATTTGGAACAGATTTTTCCTTGACTACACTATATAATTTGAAACAAAAATATAAATAAGTAGTAAAAAAACTTTTTTTTAGAGAAATTGCCGTATAAGTTAGTTAAAACTAATATCTTTCTTTTTTTCTTATGGGCAACTATTTCTATTTAAAATATTTATCCAAAGCAGACTGAAATACGCTCTGTACTTGATAATTGACCCACAAGAAATTATTCGCGATGACGTGGCGCAATACCATACAGGGCATCGCCAGCTAAATATGGCGCTGGTATCGAAAGAGTTAAAAATCAATCATTTGGAATCAGAAAGCTGTTGATTTCGAGATATCGCAAAGAAACTATGACTGACTTTTTGTAAGTTTAAAACAAATTTTTAAAATGATCATCCATTTTGTTTATTTAGTTAAAAATAAAAAAAAGTAATGTAAACAACTGTGACTTAATTGTTTTAAAAAATTTTTCTATTGCTGATATCGTAAATAAAATTTGAACATGTCGCACCACACAAACTGAAATACATTCTGTTTTTATGTTAAGAGGAGATCATTTTTTAAGACTATCCTATAGTTTTTAGTCTTTGTAATTCATTTTAGTGTGTACAAATGCACAAAATTTAATCTTGAACGTAATTTATTTTTTTTTTATAAAATAAATTTGCCAGACGTAATCTATTATATTTTTTTTAAAAAGCAATTGCTTAGATAGAAGTTACTCTGGTGCTCTGTTAGTAATGATAAAATCCAAAATTGGTAAATAGAAATTAGGCTAAGGGACTTGTAAAAAGATTGTATTGAAAACATAGATTAGATGTAAAAATAAGAATTAAATTAAACTTATAAAATTACTGAAATATAATATTTTTCTATAATATTAAATGATTTTTAATTTATTTGTAATACTGTGTATACTAAGAATAATACTAGAACCCCTTTTGCATCTTCGTAATATTTCATAGTAAGGGCTTGGTACTAATACAAGGTAATTCCACTCTTACAAATCCTTTGCGAAGGCCAAATGAAACTTAAAATTAGAGGCTTCTATAATTTTCCCTTACTAAATTTACCACACGGAGAAAACCGATTTTACATTCGTGTCTGGGTTATTGCACTAAATGAATAAATAGAAATAAAATTTATCTAATAAATAATGTAATAAAATGAAATCTTTTCTTTTTAATTTACCTTGTTATAGCACCAAGCCTTTCACATCCAGTAGCTTATAATATGTCATTTAGTACCGTCAATTTAGCAGGTTTGATTTTCTTTTTTTTAAAATGAAACTTAATGCCATGGCTATTTTTTCATTTTCAAAAAATAATAATTTACTGAATATAAAGAGAATGCAACAAATTATTGAGTAAATGTTAAATTTTAATAACACAAGATCCGCAAGCAGCTATTTTGCTCTAAGGTGTTATAAACTACGTCCGACACAAAAAAATGAAGGAAACAAGTCAGTTGAAATGAGGAAAACTCTCTAGTACGATTAAAGGTCTTGGAATCCTCATTTATATGAAGAAAGTAAACCACTAAAAATGATTTTTTTTTCTATCTTTAAAGTACTATTACACCAAAAATTTGTTAGGGCTGAAATGGGCATTCTCTTTATTTTATCAATCAAGTAAAAATTTGCATTACTTAAATACCATAAATTGAAGGAAAAAATTCCCAGTCGACAATCCAAATTGATTACGGAACAATAAATTACAATTTTACAAAATACGCATTAATAGAAACTGAAAATATTATTGCTAGATTCGCTAAGTTGAACTAAGATCGTGAAGAAATTTACCTTTTCTCATTCCCATGGTTTGCAAATGAAAAGATACAATAAATAAATAAATAAAATGTTAATTTGTTTTAGGTGTTAAATTAGTAAATTATCAAATAGACAAGCTGACAAATTAAATCTTATTATCGGAAATTAACGTAAATTTTTTTATTATCTTCTTAATTAACAGCTGGAACTTCTTTTGCAACACTCATTTGGCGAAAATAATTCGTTCTACGAGTTTTGATTGATAAACTATCGCCAAACGATAAAACTTAAAGAAAAGCAATTTTGAATTTTAAGAAATAACTTCTAAATACAAAAGAGTTACAAAAATATTACCTGCTGAATCACTTGGCTGATGGATTGATGACCTTGAAAATGAATGTCCATCACAATTTTACAACTATCTTCTATGGGAATTATTTCCTTACCAGAACATATAAGTTTCAATTTATAATTTTCTACAACCATTCGTTTCGCCCAGCTTTTAAACTTGCTTTGTAAAGCTCTTCGATCCGTTTTTGCACCATACTGAAATGTGGAAATCAAATATGTCAAATCAGCTTCTGGGGGTGCTCGCAATCTCCCGCCTAAAATGTATCGTAAGAAAAGTAAATGCATCTTTCGAGATAGCATTATAAAATTACGGCATGAAGAATTTCCACTATATTCATTCATTTTAACGAAAAAATTCCGGTATAACACACACTCTCCACTAAAACCTTGCACAATAATTTGGTTTGTTTTAAAATAAAACTTAAATTTCGAACATTTGAAAGACTGACGTTTGCACGAGAGGTAATGCTTAGGTCATGTGATCCATTCCTCCAATTAATGAAAAGGCAAACGATAAATTAAGAGAGCCCGTGCGATAACCAAATTACGGTAAAAGAATATGAAAATAAAAGGAGGTGTTAACTTTCTCGCCGCGTTCAAAATACCTGATTAAAAATCAGAATATGCTTTTACTAGAAATACCAGGAATGTCTGCCATGCCATAAGTATCAAAACATAGTACCTTAAAAAAAAGTAACTTGGAAAAAGGAAAATCAAACAAATTTAGAACATCGGGGTTGTAATAAAAGCAAAAAAAGAAAAAAATCATTTGCTTTTAGTAGAGATGAATAGTGCTAGTTGGCATAGTTTTTAGCTTCAGATAATTCCTTTCTTTTTTTTTCTTCCTTCCTTTCTTTTTTTTTAAAATTTTGTTTTATAATGTTTACACCAAATTATAGCTGTATTTCTGCTGCTAAGGTCACGGTTTGACTACAAACTAACACTAAAATTTTAAAAAAATACATTTAATACTGAATTTACAAAAAAATAAAAATTAACTATTTTTTCTGTGGGGGATAAGTTGGCATATCATAATAGTGATTTGATAGAATCAGTAGAATAAACACAGATTAGTAATTAAAATTTAAACAGATATTAAACAGTAACAAATTAAATGCTTTAATTAAGCAAGTTAATCACAAAAACTTTAAATTGAATTCTAAAAATTTAACGAAAGTTTAATGAATTCCTAAAAAAAACTTGAAATTACTAATCTCTAAAAAAAATTATTAAATGTTAATTTGAAATCCAAACACCATTTAAAAAATTGACAAAGCTATATATCTGAACTATACGAACTTGTCTCCGCACGACGGTTTCACCAAATAGTTAAATCGCTGATCCACAAAAGTTTTTTTTCTTTTCTATTTAAATATTAAACACACAAATATAACCGTAATCACTCAGTCTGTCTACCCCAACTATTGAAAATGCCTTTGTGAACCCCCAATATTTTGGGGTTTCACAAAACAGCAAAATCTTTAAGATGTCCGATTGGGTAGAAAAAATTATAAGTACAATATAAACTTTCTCTTTATGTCAACAAGCCTTGTTCTTTCCTATTTCACAGATGCTGGTAATTTTTCAATTTACATTTAGAATCTTATTGAACATTAGCTGTACCCTGCTTGTGTTGCAACTCCTTCAGTCTAAATTATATTTAACGGAAATTAAATGAAAATAATTTACATAATTTTAATGTGGTTTTCTATACATATATTATGGAGAAAAAAAATTCTAATAGTTTTCAAAATACTAATTGAGTGACCCCACTATTAACCAAGAAAACTATTTTTTATACTTATTTCTCAATCGAATAAAAACATTTAAAAGTCGAAACCTTTGTTCTGCATGGAAAAAATATTAACCTACAAGCTGTTTGAAGTTGAAAGTAGGGGAGAGGGGGGTAGTGGGAGCATGGGGTTTAAGTGGACATCTTGAATAACGTTTTTATTTATCGGTGAAAATTCTTCTATGAGATATCGTAAATTGGTAACTCTAATGAATAGTACGAAAAAAAAAAGAAAAGCAGATTTTTCCTAAATAACTTAACTTTAATAACTTTTTTTTCTAATGAATGATAATGAATTTTTCTTCACGATCTAAGACTCAATTTTAATGGTTGGAGAGCGGGTTATTAATAGCCGTAAACTCAAAATTGGGTCTGCTGTTCAACGACGGTTATAAAATAAAAATAAAATTAATTATCGCAGACGATATTTTTATACGAAATTAGACACAAAAACATACTTTCTCTGAATAAACGTACCTTTTTTTCGACAGATTCAGATTTCTGACCTGATTCTGATAAAACTATTATCGCAGACGATATTTTTATACGAAATTAGACACAAAAACATACTTTCTCTGAATAAACGTACCTTTTTTCGACAGATTCAAATTTCTGACCCCGAAATATAAAGGGGGGCCGCAATCTTGGAAATATGGTCCCAATAGTTTGGTCAGGAGAGTGGTCCGAAGTTTGGACTCCTTACGTCAATTTTATTTTTTGTATGTTTTGCCATAACTCGAGAATTTTTTAAGAGAACTGAAATTTTTTACGTACTATTGTAAAATTTGTTTTGAGAAAGTTAAATCCATGCAAAAATTAATTTTTAATAACTATTTATTATTTTCTATAATTTTATTTAATAACGATAAAAGAAATTTTGAATTGTAAGATACACAATTTTTCTAAATCATTTTAGAATGCAATTTTGCATAGAAAAATACAAAATTTGAGAGAAATCGGCCAAATAGTTCCTGAGAAATCGAATATTTTTAAAATGTCGTATTTTTAAAACTTGATTTCTCAGGAACCATTCAATCAATTTTGCTCAAATTTTGTAATTTGCCATAGAAAATTACATTCTTTAAAATGATTCCTTAGATTATTTAATACTTTGGAATTTCTACAATGTTACATAATATAAAAGAAAATCATCAAACTAAATAAGGCAAGTCTGCGAATAATTTACTAATTTATTCATTTTCTGTTAATAGTTCTGAATTTTTCCAAAACTTATTTTATCCGAACTAAAAAACATCAAGTATTTCAAGGGAGTAATTTTTTCTGTGATCTTTACTTGCATTTAATTATTGATTAATTTACTCAGCTCGTTCTTAAATCATTAGAATTAACCGACAGCATGTTTATCTTTTGCACTAAAAGAGTTTTTCAATAATCAGTTTTATTTGATTTGAGAGGCTCTTTATTAGAATGTAATATATATGCAGAGCTGTAATTTGTTAGCACATTTATTCGAAATTCTTTAATTTATTAGTATTCTTCCTTTATTTGCTCAGTATCCCCTTAGAATATATGCATTCTTCTTTTAAACACCGAATTAAGAATATTGCTTGGCGCCCCAGTAACCTTCAAAATTTCTTTTCAAACCGTTTGCTTACACAATACTCTTTACAGTTTACGCTGTTTAGTCAATTGAACATAAAAAAGGAATGCAAGTAATTAAACCAATTGCTGTCAAATATCTTTTCTTAGCTACGAAAACTATTTTTATTGTATTCCACTCGTATTTATACTCTATTCCAAAGCAATAAGGAACCACGTTGATTTTATCATCTCTACAGCGATGGTTTCCTTAAGAGTTTGTACAACTCTTTTCTGTTTTCGCCCATTTCATGTACTAGTTGGTAAATTCACGTAAATGTTGATTTTTTTGTATTAAACAATGCTGTTAACTTTGGTCTATTGTCTGGAGACATGCACAGATCAAAATAATATTTAATAAATTCTGCATTGTAGTAATATCGTTTTACCTGCTGAAAAAAAAATTATTATTTTTTTTTTATTATCCTGCATGTTATGTTCGTCTAACTGTATTAAGTCAAACCAGTATAAAAATATTAATAAATTTAATACGGCCACAAAGAGGTAACAATCTTTATATATAATCGCTCAGTGGGATTTTACCAAAAGATATTTCATTTGAATTAGAAGGCTGTTAAACTTACTAAATTCGAATTTTTCTTTGCTTTCTTTTATAAAGTTCATTAATTCAAAATGTATAGCTTATTTTAATTTCTTGGTGTGCATAACGTTAGTTAGAATATGCCAACACTGCAGACCAGTTAATGAGTTTTATTTATTTTTTGCACCTAAAGTTTTTTCACTACTGCTTTACTGCTTTTATCTAAATGAAAAGGCATCAAACTTCTCTCGGCAAAAAACTAATATAAAACTTTGTTTAGTTGAAATTTACTAGTCGTTAACCATTTCATCAAATTAAACAAGACCACCCCTTTGTAGGTCATTTAACAATTTTCATTTATCATGTACATTGATTTTACTAGAATTGAATTAAAAAGGCCACAATATACAGCTTACTTTGTGAAATCTTTTACTTAAAACTCACTAATTTCAAATGTAAAACATAATTTATTTCATTGTTTACATTGTTGAATCAGTTTTAATCTGAACATTAAAATTTTCCATGTATAGTAATATTTCAACTCGCTTGATTAAATTTCGTATCATTTAAACTTGTCGTTTAATTTGTATTGTCGATATCCATATCAGTTTAAATAGAAGCATTTCCGTAAACATTTTAATAATTAATTTTTTTTTTTTTTTTTTTTTTTTTTTTTTTTTTTTTTTTTTTTTTTTGTACCACAGGCAAATGGGTCACTTTTTGCTTCTCATACTAGGACAGTGAATGAGGTTTTCTGTAATGTAGATTTGGTTTTGATTAATAATGACGTTTCAGTTTTTAAATTCTTTTTTTTTTTGTTGTTGTTGTTAATTTACGTCGCACTAGAGCTGCACAATGGGCTATTGGCGACTGTCTGGGAAACATCCCGGAGGATGATCCGAAGACATGCCATCACAATTTTGATCCTCTGCGGAGGGGATGGCACCCCCGCTTACTGAGCATGTCAGTGCTGGTAAATTAATAAAAAAGTATAGTTTAAAAAGAAAAATATATATATATATATAATAAAAATAAGCAAATAAAATAAAAAATAAGCAAATAAAATAAAAATGAATAAATTAGTATCATTTGTGATTTCGTATAAATGTTGGAAGTTGGGAGCTAGGGTAGCATGTTGCTAAAACAAAATGCAAGACCTCACCGCTATTATTATTATAATCATTATTTATTTATAAAAAAGAATTTTGATGAATAAATTTTGAAAAATATTTCGATAAAAATAAACTTTAGGGTAGATAGGTACTTCATTTATGTCGCACTTGAGCTGCACAATGGGCAATTGGCGACTGTCAGGAAAACATTCCTGAGGATGATCTCAAGACATGCCATCACAATTTTGTGAGGCAACTTCTTCAATTTAGACATAGATCTATGATGAAGAAGTGGCCTCACAAAACTAATGGCAATTAAATTTTTCCAGATTCCTCCCTGTACCCATGCTACTGCACAGCGACCGTCCACAGGGCTTTCGATTCCACAGATTTTATGAGCATGTATTTACTCCATGGATCTTAGAGTAGTCGAGGATCGAACGATGGCCATTCTGGTCCGAAGTCCGATTCTTTAATCACTGGGCTACCATATGTGGTTGGCGCACCTCCGATTACTGTCAAGAAAATATGAGAACCAGATTGGTGAAATATATTTTCTCGCGAAAAACTCACCAATCAGGTTTCCTTATTTTCGGCGGTTAGAGTTGCGGTAATTGCATTTGGTGCGAATACACTTTTAAAATTGACTATTTGAATTAGTTACTTCTCACCCCCGCTTACTGAGTGCAGAGTTTCCATTTTAGAAGGTGTTTGAGTTAAACAAAAATAGGCAGCCAATAACGTCAGCTGTCAATAATTGAATAAAAACAAAGCATGATTAATTATGGAATTAGTTTTTTTCTTCCCAATCTGGATAGGCATATGATCGTTTTTATTAAGATGATAAACTAAAACATGTTTTCTATTGAATTTTTCAGCAAGTTATTGAATGTGTGATTTATCTGCAAGCATTTTTCTCATGAATCGCAGCTTTTATTGTGTTGAGGTTTGGTGAAAATGTCTCAATTTCCTTTAATTGTTGATACATATTAAATATTTTCTCCGTTGTTTTAATTGGTTTTTTCTTTCTTCATCATTCTACATTTATCTATAAAGGCGAAATGATCTGATTAGTTAAACTATGAAAAAAATATTTGAAATAGTTTTTTCTGAAAATTTCAGAACAATTTCGAAATTCGTGATCTGCTATAAATAGAATGTATTCTTTTAAAGTATAGAATTTATTTGACTGTCTTTTGTGAATAGATAATATTTTACTTATTCCAAATTTAAAAATAATTAGTAGTCAAAGGATTGTGCTTATGCAATCGTAAAACTCCTTTTATTTTAAAAATCTGTTTACACTACATTTCAAATTATATTTAGCTTGAATAGTCTCTTAGTAAAAACGAAATATGGCATTGAAACTTGACCTGAAACTGCTTTATATATGAATGAGTTGTGAGAAAAAGAATTTCTTTAGTGTAATGTAAACATTTCAGCCCAGTTCTGGATTGTTTGTATTATTTTAATTAGAAAATTTGAATCTTTTATGTGTTAAATATTTGGTTTAAGCCACATATTTGATGAATAATAATAATACAGATTGATTTTCAAATTGTATATCTTTAAGTTATTGCATTTAAGGATATTTTTTTTAGGAGGAAATTATAAATTTTTATTAAAAAAAAAAAAATTACACATAAAAAACTGCAACTTAAATATGAATATTTGAAATAGATTTTATTTTTTAACGTTTATGTTATTTCCAATATTTTTCTTTTTTAATTTAATAAGTTTTTGCCTTTTTCAGTGATTACATTATTAGATTCTTTTTTCTGGGTATAAAATTGCTTGGACATCCACACACCTCTGCACGCCACACATGTTAAATGAAAGCAAATAGAGAAGATATTTATTAACATGAGCTGTTATTATTTAAAAAATTAATAACCATTCAATAATTTTTTGATACATTCTTTTCCTGAATTTTGCGTAGTTTCAAGCTTTTAGTGTAAATGTATATATAAAAGTATTCTTATTTGTATTTCAAGACTGAATTTTTTTATTACAATCATAGACTTTATATAATGTGCATAGATGTTGATTTTAATAATAAATATTTAAAAGTTTGCTACTGTTTCTCTTTATTTTAGGTATTTCTGAAAGTTTTAAAAATAAATAATAAAACTTTTAAGATTCTATATCTGTTTAGGGAATCTTAAAAGAAAAAACTTGTTGAACTTTTATGTATGTAAATGCTGGTACTTTTAGTAATAGATACTATGGTTAAATATAAATAGATATCAGGGTTTACAAGTTTTTGACTCATTTTTACCATAATGTCAGAATTTCTGAACTTTGAAGACATGGTATTTTTATTTTATTTCAACTGAATAAAATTCTGATAAAACAATTTATCTTAAAACATTAAATTGTAAAAGTAAAAGATACTTGACAAAAAATTACTTAAGATTACTGAGAAATATATGATAATATATTTTTACTGCTAGTAATAAAAAGTGCACTAAACTAGTAACTTAGTAGACATTCTTTGACACTATGACCCTGATTACTATAAATGCCATTTTGGATAAAATTTTGGTTCCTCATTAATGTGAGTTAAGTATATAAGTTTTGAAATTAGATGAAAAAACAGTGGCTCAAGTTCCTTAGTTACAAATCTTTAAATAAAAATTTTACGATTATATGCAAGTGTCTTGGTATATTATAAAAAATATAGATACTAAATCATCATAGAAATTTGTTGATTGAAGAAGTTGATGTATTTTCTATTAATTGAAGAAGAAGTTGATTGATGTATTTAGAATTGTTGGTATTCCAAAGTGATACAGGCCAGCAATTATATATTAAACATCATAAACTGCTTGAAAGAAGAATCAAATTATGATGAACAAAAAAATATTCTATTTCAGAAATATATGGAGCTCCAAAGTAAAGAATTTAAATTTTTTTATGCACAACATATGAATTATTAAAATAATAAATTTAGAAAATGGCTCGAAGGGTGCAGCTGCAAGGTTGAGCCCTACAAGACCTCTTCGTCTATGAAGAAATAAAAAATTCAAGTTTCATCTATACGTTAGCATAGTTTTTGTCAAGGATAGTTAAGGGATTCATGTATTGGCTACTAATTGATTTATTTTACTGCCAAGGCTCTTTTTCTTAGCCTTACACGTTCAAATGTGTTGGCGGAAAAGAAAGTGTGACCAGAATAAATTTTTTTTATGAATTTTAAACATTAGCAGCCATGTAACATTTTCCAAATTCAAGTAGTGTTAATTTTTATCTAATTAGTTTCAATTTTTTATAATTAAGTAATATTCTTGAAATACATTATAAGAATACTTTAAGAACATAAATTTCTTTAAATTTATATGCAGCTATGTGATAGTTGTTCTTTAATTCTGTCTATTTGATTTCAGATATTTATATTGATGATCTTGTATTATATTGGAGGAAATTCGCCACCTAAAAGTATCTTCAAATGTTCTAGAATTAAGTCAAGATTGGTACGTTTAATTATAAATAAGGTATGTGTGGACCTAAATTTTTATTAATTTTAAATTTTTTCTTAAAATCACTGCATTATATATGCTATTAATAAGTGCTTATATGCATTTTATGCATATATACATTCTATTGATTGTAATATCTTGATTAGTGGTCAGAACAAGCATGCTACACGTAGCGAAACTACTGTAGTCGCCACTCTTTTCTTAGTTTGTAGTGTAGTAATTCATGACAACTACTTTTAACATTATTTTAGTAAAGAAACATTATTACATTGGTTTAGTAAAGAAACAATATTACATTGGTTTAGTAAAGAAACAACGGCACTAGCTTTTCGAAAAAGATTAGCAGACTTAATTATTATTACAAAAAAAGATTAGATATTACCTAATAGCGCAAATGCTATTTGCGTAGATCATTTGTGCATTTAGTATAGCTGAAGTCACCCTTTTGAGTCATTAAGAATGAGTTCTGAAACATGAAGATCTGATCATTAGATCAAAAGTTATTCAAGGTGGTCTTGTTTTTTCTTTTTCCCCCCCCCCCTCACTGTATAGTCATTATACATTAAAAGAACACTTGATGTTATTTATTTCTCTTCGCAATGCTTCTATTTCTTAGAAGAAATAAAAGAGCAGTAAACACTTGACAAAATGGCAGAAATTTTATAGATATCTAGTGTTTCCTAAATCAAATATTTGATGTCGAGAAATTTAATTTGGAAACACTGGATATGAAATTGCATGAAATTTTAAAAAAGCTTAAAAGAAGTTGGTAAAGAATTGTTTGTATAACAAACTGTCTCACGTAAAGACGAATAAATATTTTAAAATTATTCCTCATAAATAAATTTTTTTAATCAAAATCATTTTGAATACGGGTGTAAATTAAGTTCTACTACAAAGTCTACAAAGTCATTTCAAAAATAGATTGTAATCACTATTTTTTTTTTAAATAGTTGTTAATTACATTTGTACTAAAGTATTTAATTACAAAAATATATAGTTTTTATGTTTTCATCCACTGATCTTAATATATCTGGCAAAAGCAATTAATATCTCTATTTATTTGCTAGTTAAGTGTTATTAGCCCAAAAAAAAAAAACTTCTACATTATTATTGAGAGCAACCAAATGCAGATTGTAAATAAATAAACATTTCTTTTTAGATGAAGCAAAAAATATATCATAAAACAGAAAATAATTTTTTTTTCAAAAAATTAACAATAGGAAAAATGTTTTGAAAAAAACTTAGCTTCCTAATTTTAGACATTAGATAGTAAAGGCTGTTCGTAAATGATGTCTCATTTTTTCCTCTACCTTTCCTCTTAAAGTAGAAACACATAAATATCCATATATTTTCTAATTTTTTGCAGAGTTGTTAATTTATTTAAACGGAATTAAAAAAAATCTAATTAGATTCCAGGGGAAAATATATATCTCCAAATAGATATAGTTATGCTTCCGTTGCTTTCCAAATAGCTTTAAAACTAATTCAAATCACTGTTCCTAGTTTCATAAACTTTATGCTTTTAAAATCATATGATCAGTTTTGATGAATAAAACTTTCCAGTGAATTGTTGACAAAAGAAAAAACAATTATGTACTCTTACAAATTGTATGCCTGTTGTTCTCTGTATACTTCTTATGTTTAATGTATTAACAAATATATAACTATATATGTAATTCCTCAAGGCTCAGCTTCTTGCTTATTCTTTAAATGTATTTTTTTTTATGCTAAATGATATTTCCACTGTGTATAAAGGTTTTGTAATTTTAATTTTACATTTTGGACAGAAATATACTTTACTTAGCTATGCTAACGTATGCTGTAATTTAAGCAATTAATTTATCTGCAGGTGTATTTTTTTGGGAACACTATTTTACGTTAACATTTACATATTGAACATTTATATTTATTTAAAGTATTATAAAATCTTCTTAACAATTAAACTCAAAATTCTAAAAAAATTGGGGAAACATCTTCTATTTTCATCTGGTTTTATTCCAACTGAAAGTGATATGAATAAGAAATTTACTTATTAAAAAGTTCTTATTTAAAAAAAAGCAATGTTTAATTTTAACTCTGGTTCAAACCAGCGAATCCTGGTTATTCACATATTTTTCTTGTAATAATATCAAAAGATGTATGTAAAAATTTATTATGTTCATTATTTTTCACTTTCCTTAGAGAGTTTCTCCTGTGCTCAACCGATACAAGCTCAATTTTCCTTTAACTTGCCCTTTCCACAATGATCGTGATATTTTGTGGTGGCCTGATATACAGTTTCACTTTCAAGATGGCCAGTGGATTTGCCCTTATTGTGGACAGATATTTCCATCAGAGATAACACTTACGGAACACTGGGATTCTGAACATATGGATAATGAGGTATATTATTTAAATAATCCTGTGCAAAATAAGTACTAATTGTATTAGATTAAAAATAAGCACTGATTAATAAGTTCATTGTGTATTTGATTTTTTATATTGAAAATATTTTGCAATAAGATCCCAGCTCTTTTCCTACCTTTAACTGTGGGCTTTTTCATATCAAAATTTCAGGTGTCTCATTGCTATTTAATGAAAAAGTAGTAGGTAGCAGGGAAATCTCAATACAAATTTGCCCACAGTTTCAACCCTTAGAGAGTTAAAATATGTTATTTATGTTTTATTTATTGTTTTATTTAAAATATGTATGTTTTATTTATCGATAAAACAATTATCTATCTATTACACTGTAAAATAAATATCACTGTCATTTATTTTTAATGTTTTGTAATTAATTGTTTAAATATAAAGATCTGAATTTGAAAACTGTCTGTAGTTATATGTTCCTGCTTTTAATTTAAGCTATATTTTTCTGCAGTGTATTTGATCAAATATATTGATTTTGAAATTACTAAATTTAGTAATTTTGGAAGAAAAAAAAAGAGTTTTGTTTTTCATGAAAAAAAAAAAAAACCACTATATAGACGCAGAAATTTGTGGCAAAATTTATCAATTTTTTAAAAGCTGAGGAATTATGATTGTTTGTTTTTTGTGTTTGTACATTGTTTTTCCAGTATTCCATTAAATTGGGTCACATGCCTGGTTTTATTATATAAAATAAGTTACTTATCTGAAGTTCCTAAACTTTCTCCAAGTTGCGGAATCCTTACAAAATTTGGATTGTCTATTAACACACCAGTCATACATTTACTTCTGGTTTAATATATTTTTCATTTTGAAATAGGTCGTAAGAATAGTAGCATAACCAATGCAATTCTTCCTTATTATCCACTCTACTTTAATCTAAATAAAAATAAAGTACATAATCATGTATAAAAAGTACTATCACTATAAGATATTTGCTTTTTATAGCAATAGCTACTTAAAACCTAACATCACACAAGTATGAAATAACAAACTGAATGAGAAACCTCATAGCTTTTTCACTTACAGGATATTCATATCTTCCATGCACCCAAATGTCTACCAACTTAATCTGGAAAACCTTTTCTTCCATAATAACAACAGATTACAATTAAAGAAATAATCATAAACTTGGCTCAGGACAGCCCTCATCTCTCTCCTTGGCACACTAGGGTGCCATATATCAGACTTTAAAAATCACTGATATAAAGTAAATAATGGACATACAACTGTTTCACTGCTATAAGTGGGCACTAGCTTTCAACTAGTGGGCTGATGCCTGTTTATAATTTAGATTAGGTTAAAATTATAAAGTCCAAGCAAAGGAAAGTTTAAAATATTTGATGATTCAGAAATTGATTACCTATATTATTATAATTAAATTATAATTTCTTGTCTTTTGAAAATATTGATTTCTTTTGAAATTATTATTTGCCTTTGTCAAATCAAAATATTTTAATTAAAAAGGTTAAAAATTTTTTCCTTTATTATTTCTTTTTTTAAATACTGAGGTAATGTTTTAAAATTTTACCATTTGCAATTTTACTTTATATGTGGGGAATTATAAATTATCAAATTATTTGTGATACAGCTTAAGGAATTTTATAGAATAAAACTATTTTTATTTATCCACATTTAGTAAAATTTTTTTTGGGTCTTTACTATACACGCAAGATTGATATTTGGCATATGCTGGACTTTACTATAGAATTGTCCAATTTAAGATATAGCTTTTAAAATTTATTTCTGAAATATTATATTTAAGTTATAAAATGTAAATTATCGAAGGTTTGAAGGAGTTTTAAATTTAATAATAATTTTAATTACTTTTCTATTTTTTGCACTTAAATGTAGTAATTTTCAAAAACATTGGGTTTTTGTTTTTTATTGAATTTGTCATTTATACTTTCTGTTTTTATTTGTCTGTTGATGCTTTTACTTTTTTAAAATTTTTCTAATGAATGCTTTATGCATCCTTCCTTCCTTTCCTTTTTTGTTTTGTTTCTGAAGCAAAAAAAAAAAAAAATAAATAATAATAAAATTAATAAATAAATAATTGAGAAGACTTAGAAATTTACAAAAACTACTTTTATGTAAGGTAAAATCATAAGCATATAAATTATGCTTTTAAAAACATTTCGTAGATAGTTACATGTTTTAAAAATATTTGCAAATAAAGTTTATATCTCTTTTTCCTTATTCATTTTTCCAATTATATAGTTTTTCTTTCATTTTTTATGCCCATCATAAAAAATGTGAACATTATTGGTTCTTATTAACTTGTCAAACATAATTATTTTTATTTTAATATTTCTTTAATTTCTTTTGTCAAAGTTTATTATTACGAAAAGTATATCAGTTTTGCAAAATACGTTAAGGATGCTAGACAATCCATATGAATTAAAAAAAAAACTCTGAGAAGTCTAAAAACAGTAGTTGGTCCCGGAGGACTTCAACTTTGGTAATACCCAAACAAACTAAAATATTGATAAGGAAAGCCATGTCACCAGATCACCCTTGGCACTCTTCGAAGGTCTTTTGACCCTGCTGAAAAGTGAGGGTTCTGTTATGACTCATGACCACTCATGAAGTGCTAGTAACCAGTTTGGTAATTTCTGCCCGGAATTACTTACCTAGAAGTCTTGTAAAATAGCATGAGTGGTTGGGAAGAGTTCTTATACGATTGTGTAGTTCTATTTTCACAAGGGATGAAATTTTACTAAATGTTAGATTCCCACAATGACGTTCACCTTCCTCAGTAGCAGACCTGGCCAAGAAGTCGGCCCTTTCATTGCCATCAACTCCTGATCCATGGTAAAGAGAAAAAAGCAACTTTAATTGAGCCGAAGGTCTGAGCAGACATCAGATATTTATTCTAGATAATTAAAGTTGTGAAATTTATTCTAGGTTTGTTATTGTCTCATGATAAAATGATTTCTAGGTTAATAATTGTCATGCTATAAAATGTTTTTTTTTTTATGTTTGTTATCTTCCTATTATATCTAAGATCAATTAACCTTACTTCATATGATCATACACGGTAAGCTAAAAATATTGTATGAAATTAAGAATATTGAACATATGAATATAATAGTATTATATATACATTTATTGTATGTTCATTGTTAAGGTTGGCATGATTTGCAGTTTTTTATTTCATGATTAAATTTGCAATTTAAATCACTTGTTTTTTTTTTTGAAATCATTGATTTAAATCTATAATTTTTTTTGTTGAATAAATCATTAAATTGAAAATAATTTTATGTATGTATTCTTTAGGATATGATTCTTTTTAAAGTCTGATTTCATTGATAATTAAGGTTTTACCCAAAGGAATAATGAAAGGGTAAATTATTGTATTTCTAAATTGACTAATAAATAAGTAAAATTAAGAGTCTTTAAAAGTTTAATATTACTCTTAAAATAATAGTAACAAGAGTAACATTAACTGTTTAATTATATATTTTTGTTAGCTGTATGTAAAATGATTTGCTGCTAATAAGCATATTTCAATTATATTTATTTAGTTTTATTGTTATTTAAATATGTACTTTAAATGTATTTACGCATATTAAACACTTTGTTAGTGTTTATGAATATAGAAAAAAAGACTTGTTCTGCCCAAAGAAACATGCAATTTATATATTTTTTAAATGTATTCTAATCTAAACTAATTTACTTTTCATTTGATATCTAACTGATAAACTGCCTCCTTGTTTTTAAAATTTTAAGATGTTTAGCTTAAACAAAAATAATCTTAATTTTATTGATTCAGTGATTAATTTGTAATGATTAACTAATAATTTTTCAAACATTTCATTTAGAAATATCTACTATTTTAGCTATATTATTTTTTAAAATAATATTGCTGCTAATATATTTTATCAAATAATTTGGCTGTTGAATATTAAAAATCATGAATTTTGCTGAAGCTTAATCAGGGGTCTGTTTAGAAAAAATTTGGGTCCGTTAACGGACACTTCACAAAATATCTTTTCATAAAAACGAACCCTTCGCAAAATAATTTATCTTTTAATCAGACCCTTCGCAAATTTGTTTATCTTCATTATTTTTTTGTTAATTGAATAAACCCTTCCGGGGGAAAAAGAAAGAAAGTCGGTTCGAAATGAACTAATTTTTACAAGTTTCCTGTATTTAAATTCCAAATGTAGTATTCTAAGAAAATATTTCTACTTTTTCAAACAACAAATGCACATTCTTTTTGATATTAAATGATAATTTTATTATTATTTTTTGTAAATAAATATTTGATCAATTTATATTTATTAGTAAAATTAATTAATAGAATATTATGTCAATAAAAATGAATTTCTGACAATTTTTTAAATAAAATATTATGAATTTAAGAAATTTTTAAGTTTACTTAATGCATAACATGTTAAAAGTGATGCATAACTAAGTTGTGTTATTTAAAATATGTCAATTAAAATTATTAAAGATGTGAGTGATTTTGTTTCCATTATTCGTCCGAAATGAATATTCAGTGTTGAGCAGTATAGGCTAAATACCAAATATTTGTATGTTGCATCTGTAATTTAGTAACAGCAATTGTTGAGCAGAATCTCGTATCTATTTACAATTTAAAAACTTCTTGAAAAGGTTTTTAGCAATTTTTGCAATAACAGAGACCCTATTTGCACAAATTCATGAAAGCAGGACCCTGGTTGAAAGAATGCGACTCAAAACTTATTTTATATTCACAATTATTTTATATGTACTTTTTTCACAATTTTGCCAAAACAGGACCTTTCACAAAATGTCTGGACAGACTCCTGTTAATATCTACAGCAGCCAAAGCTCAGGCTATTGTTGACCGAAACTTTGTTACTCAGCGCTTTGTTCCAATGCTAATATTAACTCATTATTTTAATTATTTTATATTTTAATATTAATGTTTTGTGTTTATTCTCTATAATTAAAAATTTCTATTTAAAATTTCTTCATTGCAGATTGAAGATGCTGTGTGCTTAGCAAATTTTTGTGACATATTTCGATGTGAAGTTATTTTAGCAGCATTGGAAGTAGAAAAGAATACATACGCATGGGAAAAAATTAGCAAATTTCAATATCCTCTTAATAGAGCTCCTTGTGATGAAAAGAAAATGAGGTCACTTCAAAAAAAGTGCAAAGTAAGGTCAAAATTATTATTTATGTCTACCATTTATTATTATGTCCAAAATTATACCAAATATTATTTATTATTATACCAAAATTATTATTTATGTCTATATAATTATTATTATGTAAGTATTTTTAAATAGGCGGTCAAATCCTGCTATAATAAACCTGTGATATAGTAATCATATGGTTTTAGTGAACTTTTTCTTATGGTATCTTTTGAACTACTATTTAAATTATAACCTATTTGTGTATTTTAGGTTCAATCTGGTCTGTTATTATCATATTTGCCACATTTCCATTCTTCTTACAAATATATAATGATGATTTGTGATAAGTGAAACATAATTTAATAGAATTTGTAAAATGAAATTCTATAATAAGTGTAAACTGATTTTTAAGATGTGTCATCCGCAAATAATGTAACATGGTATCACTTTGCTGTGCCTAATTTTATCTTAAGTTAGACTATACTTTCATGCTTACAATAATTTTAAAGGTGTATCTCACAGGCATTAATAAATTGAAATTATGAAATTGAAAAAATACTATATCGCTTGAAAATCGTCTGTCTCGAACATTAAAATTTATATCATTGTCGAAAAACTGACTTACTCCCCAAAGTGTTGTTGAAACTGATTTTCCTCTATTTAAAAATAACACTTTAAGCTTTAAAAACTAATAAAAAATAACACTTTAAGTATTAAAAACTAATAAATTTTTTTTTTAAAGAATAGACCACAGTAGAGATTAATATTAGAAATAAAATTGCCAGACCATCAAAGGGATTACGTATTTCCCAGCTTTTCAATTACTTTTTATGTAAAATTAATTTTTCATATTTAATTAATTACTATCCCTCTTTAAATAAATTAATTCATTAGTTTTTATTCTATTTTTAAATAGCAAATTCAATTATTTATGTTCTTTTCCTTTCTCTATCAATATTAACTACTAGCATTTTTTATTCAGTTAAATCATGCAATAAGCTATTATTTAAGGTTATTTTACTATATATCATGATATATTTTTAATCTCTTTTTTTTTTTTACCACAAAAGTGTTTTGACAGTCTTCTTACAGTCTTCTACATTCTAACAATCTTTTTGATGATTAATTTGCTAGCCAATTTATTTAAATTTAATGTTAATAATGCCAAGTTAGCTTTATTTTTGACAGTATTATTTTTAAAAAAATTGCCAATAATGGATCTCTTCCAGTACTCTTAAGCATTGGTGTGGAATTATACTTTAGTTGTAAAAAATTGCAGCTTGAGGAGTGGGAGGTTTTGGCAGTAATTTTAAATTCATCATTATCTTAAAATGTTTTAAATTATCTCTCATACTAATACATATGTTTTTAACTATATGGGGGGGAGAAGGAAGGAAGTGGCACTTCGTCCTATTGAATTGAAAATAGATTCTGTTCTGCATTCAGTAGAATCTCTCAAATAGAACTTTAAGTCAAGGTTATCAAATAAAAAGATAAACAATTATATTTATGATTTTTATTTATTGAATGAATGTTAGTTTATAATAATTTTTATTTTTGATTGATAGAAATAGACTATGCATATTTTTGCATGACAAAATCATTAATCGAAAAGTTTTTGTAAACTAGGTTTTTTTAAATTTTTTTAAAAAACAAAAATAAGGCTGAGGTAAAATTAATTTTGACTTGTAAAAAATTAATAAGACCTTTCATTTAATTTATTTAAAGAAAATGAATTAAAGCCTACAACCTAAAATCTGCTTTTACAGGCTCACGGCCATCCAGACTCCGTACTATCTGGACCAATAATAATAATAAAAAACAATTTGTTTTTAGCGATTAACTGTTTCTGTTCCTCTTTGTAGGAAGTGATGGAGGAAAAGTCAATAAATTATTAAGCGGTCATCTGCTACCCTATCAACTTGCTGATTGTAAAAACTGTATAGTTTTACTCTTTCTTGTCGTAAATTATTCAAATTTATGTAGTTTATATGTAAGCAATAAGTATTTTTGAAGCATTAATTTTGTTCATCAATATTTTATCTCGATATGTAACACGCATTTTTAATTATATGAGAAAGGTGTTTGGAGTGGAACTTCATCCTGTCTGGCTTTTTTGTTTTCCAATCTATCCTTCTGATACATTAGAAAGTGTTGGAATTAGCCTACTGTACTTGATTTTTCTCTTCATTATATTTTCCTTGTGGTAATACATAATGTAACAATAATTTGTTTAGTTTAATCCAGTATTTAGTATTTCTTTTGACCAAATGTTAATGATTAATTTAAAATGTCAGGCACATGTTCCTAAATAAAAAATTGTATTAATTTTTTTATTAAATTTATTTACAATAAAAATCTAGATTAATAATATGATAATAAATTAACTTAATATTTTGTCCATTTTAGGTTATAATGAGACACTGCTTGCTAGGACTTTTGTCTTCACTATCAACTAAAGATTTTCAAGATATTGAAGGTAAGTATCGGACACTAATTTCATAGTTAAGTCTTTTCTTTGTTAAAAGTTATCCTCTATTAGAGGTGCTAATTTTACAANTCTAAAAAAAAAAAAAAAAAAATTATATATATATATATATATATAAACAAACATTAGCTTAATTGGTAATAGCTGGATTTGTAAAACTCAAGATTTTTTTCTTAAAAAAATATACACTTCATTTTTTTCTTATTTAAATGATTTTTTATTTTTACATTTACCAATCTCTCTCTCTTATTAAATATATTAACAATCTTAATATTATTGAACAACAATGCTAAAACTAAAATTCTTAATATTTGTAAGTAAAATTGTTAATTCAAGCAGCTAATACGATCTTGAATTAAACAAAAAAATGGAAAATAACAAGAGTAAAAAGAAAGAAAAAAAATAATATTTTTCCCTTAAATTTGTTCCTTAAAATTTTTCATTTGTTTTGATGATAAAATCTTGCTTATAAAATTTAGTTTTGGTAGCTGTTATTACTAAAAGTTTTTATCCTTTTAAATTGAATAGATTTTTTTCCCTCCCCATTTGTTCAGCAAATGGTTGATCGCAGGTATTTCCCCCCTTAAGTCATTAAAATGTTTAGTTCATTTACATTAATAATGCAGTTTTATACAGTTTAATTTTTGGGAACTTCTCAATCACTTATTATGTTGACTTCCAAAATGATTATTAAAATTAAATAATTTCTCTAAATTAAATTTTTATGATGCTTTAAAGTATTGAACTAATTTATTATTATTTTTTTTTTCATTTTATAACTTCCTTTTCAATTAGATTATACACCTTTGAATCCTGCCTTTAAAAAATTTTAATTTATTTTAATGATTCAATTCAATTTGTGCATTAACAACTCTGGAACTTCTGTGTTGTCGATTTCTTCTTAAATTCTTATGTCAGATCATGATAGATTAATCAGAGCTTATATGGAACACTGAAAATAATAAAGCTAAAGCTGAACATGTTGAAAAAACTGTCAATTTTTGTCGATGTATTTTGTGCTTATTTTGTAAGAAATATGTAACAGTATTTTGACAAATTACTAACATATTTAAATTTGAAGAAATAAATATTTAATTAGATTACCTTTTACAAAAAGTGTATTTTTATATACCTCAAAACTTTTGCATTGTGGTAATTCAATAATAATTTGAGAAAATTATTCTCATTGAGTGTTATTTAGAAAAGATTGGTGTATATTTTATTAATTCAGTATATTCAGTATATAACAGTTATTGTGACAGAGTTCTCCCTAGGAAATAAAAGGGCTGAGCCTTTCCTCCCAGAAAAAGGCACTTCTTAGTTTTAAAATGGCTCTCTCATAATGTAAAAATTCATCAAAATGTGCAATATGAAATAAACTGAATTTGATCCTCAATAATTTTTAAATTACCTTCTTATGCTATTTTATGTGTGTATTTCAAAAAAGTAATTCTAACTCATTATCAAAATAAGAGAAAAATTTGTAGTTCATAAAAAATAATTAAAAGTATGCTAAAAGACTGCACACATTTTTTTTTAAAGAAAAGTAAATAAAAAATATATAATGGATAGACAACATGAAAGTTTTTTTTCTATATTTTAAGCTGGAAATTATGAAAAAATGATCATTTAAAGGTGCGTTTTTTAAAAAAAAAAATAAAGGTTATTTAAAAAGTATTTTTAAAATTGTCACAGTTTGGAATCTGTACAATGTTGAAAGTTATAAATCTGGGACTCTAATTTTGAGAGTTAATATGCAAGCTGTGTTTGGAGCAAATAAGAGCCAACATTCTTTTTTTTTTATTTAAATTTTTTTTAAAATTTATTTATTTTATTTTTATTTATATATTTTTGAAGTTTTACTTTTTGACATTCAGTATTCTTTTAAATTCTTCCTTCATTGAATGTTATCTCTGTTGTTTTTCTAACTTTCAAGTTAGTGACTCTTTTGCATTAAAGCTAGTTTTAGCAATGTTGTTTAATGCGAAAGCTGTGTATAACTGGAAAATTTCAGTACACCTTTTGCTCAGAGACTAAATGCTTGGAGGGTTAAAGAAAATTGTTTTTCAGCAGATAACACAAAAAAGGAAACAAGGGTTAATTATATATACAATGATATTTTGTCCAGATTAAAGGGATCTAAAGAAGCTAAAAGATAAAAAGTTGAAATACAGATTCTTAATTTATAGTCTTGATGTAGTCTACACAAGTGCGTTGAAAACAAGTGTAAAAATGGTGTCATTCCAACATTTGTTAAATTTTTTGAATTTTTTATTTTTATTTTTTTATTTCCAATGGCAAGGCAAAAGCTACAAATAGAAAGATCAAGTAGATAACGAATACAAATGTACGTAGGATAACAAAGAAAGAAGACCGAAGTCATTGCCTTAAAAGTTCTCTTGCTTCCCAATATCTTGAGGACTCAGTGTGTCCATGAAGGGCCCCGCATAGAAGCAGGTGGTCTCTGCCCGATTGCTCTCCAGATTTACAAAAGGGACAAAAAGGCGTAGTGGAAAGGCCTATGCGGTATAAGTGAGCAGAAAGACAATCATTGATTTTCCGAAAGGAAGTTGCCATATTTCCTTGTTGTAGCAAATTAGCACCTTTTTTTGCAAGTAAATCTGCCTGCTCATTGCCCCAACACCCCAGAAATTGCCGATATTTAAACCTAG